AAAAATGGATCCCCTTGTTCAACTCCATTTTAATGCTCTACCAACATTTATATCTGTGAAAACTATTATGAATCGTGTTATTAAATTATAGACCACTCCCATTTCAAAATCTATAAGTGCTTTAGGAGGAGAAAAGAGTATACCTATAGATCGACAATAGTTTTTTAAAAGATTTAACATTTTTAGATACGTTTCTTTGTTTTTATTTGGCAATAATATATAAGCGCAAGGAATTATTTTATGATTAATCATTATATGAATAGTGTAAAATTGCTTAAATAATAATGGACACGAAAAAAAATGTACCATCCATAAAAAATATTAGGTCGGCATTACAGAGATATTCAAGTAGTTCATGTATAGAAAATATTAATAATTCATTGTTTTCACAGGTATAAATGTTGGTAGAGCATTAGGATGGAGTTGAACAAGGGGATCCATTTTTCTAATACGCATAACTTGATTATATGTTTTACATTTGCTTTGATAAGGGTATGCTCGAATTTGTTCTTTTAACTTATTCATAGTAACTAAAATTGCATAAAGTTCTTCTTCAGATTCATCAGAATGATTGTGAATATGTGTCAATGTAAACATCATATTTAACAATGTACCTCTTGCAGTACAATTCTTTAGCCTACATTTATATAAAAATCCATATTTGTGGTAAATATAAAGATATTTATTAGGATATAAAAAATTTAGTTTTTTTGGGAAAGAATAAAATCATATGGTTGTTCTACATTTAAATATGCGGATTGAATGTTATTAAACATTACCGGTAAAGTTTCAGAGCTACTAGCTGCAATGGAGATATCGGCTACAACTTCTTCATCTATAAAACTTTCGTCTAAAAATGGTAAAAGTGGGAGGCCACTCTCTCCATCTACTTCTGTATGATTAACCAAAGAAGGGAGCTCTTGACTTTCCTCCAACAAGATCCAAGAAATCCCCACATCACTGACTCCAACTTCTTGTGGAGGATTGAACATTTGACTTTCTTCCAACAAGTTTCCAGAAATCTCCACATCACTGTCTCCAACGTCTTGTGGAGGATCGAACATTTGACTTTCCTCCAACAAGTTCCCAGAATTCCACACATCACTGTCTCCAACTTCTAGTCAAGGATTTATCAAAGGAGGCACTAATGTCGTGATTTAAGGAAAAATATATTAAAAAAAATTTGATTAAATATTTATAATAAAATTTAAAAATAATTTTGTAAAATATTTCCTCTTCTTCTACTCAAATATTTGCAAATATCTAGAAAACAATTAATCACATCTTATATATTAAATAATTTACCGTTGCATGCTGCTGTTTCAGTAAATAGGTTATTTACTGTGTAACCTCTCCTGAGACAGGTTGGAGAAATACAGGTAAAATATATTTTATTTTTATAATAACTTGACTTTCTATATGTAGAAGGTATCATTATTTAAAAAATCTAAAAGATTGTTATAAATATAAAATATCTATTAGAAAATATAAATAATTTACCATAATTATTGTTCTTCTATAATGTTCTATTTCTTAGAAAATATAAATATTCCTAATTTTATCCATATGTGTTCAAATGCTGTTAAAATTATAAAAGATATATAATAAATTTTAGAAAAAAAAATTTGCCATACATCATTAAAACCAATTACCTTGGCCTTGTTCAGGAAAATATTTTCTAATAATATTGAATCTTGCTAATACTAATATGTATATATTAATTAAAACCAATTACCTTTTCTTGAGGTACTGTATTTATATTTGATATTAGCTTTTAAGGTTTAGTCTTTATTTTATAATTTTCTACAAAAATGGTATGTAAATAGGTTTTAAGGTTTAGTCTTTATTTTATAATTTTCTACAAAAATGGTATGTAAATAGCTTTTGAGGTTTAGTCTTTATTTTATAATTTTATACAAAAATGGTATGTAAATAGCTTTAATACCTTAACTATTTCGTTTTTCTCTCCCTTTCTCATTACATACAATTTGTCCGCTTTAGACTCCAAATATTGTTAAAAATATTAAAAAAATAAAAACATTTAATTGTACTATAAAATTATTTATTTTTATTACTGTTGACATTGAAATAACGATGTACACTCTAAAACTATTTCTAAAATTACATTTTCTATGTGTAAGCTATTGTGAAATAAAATAGGACAATCTTCAAACTAGCAGCCATTTTTAATAGAAGCATGTGAAAGAATGAAATTAATAGATAGTCTTATTAAGGATAATATGACGACTCTTATGATAAATCTGAACTACAGAGATTTTCAGATAAAGACCAATCGTTCAACGCGCGTTCCTTTTTAAGGTAACCGTAAGGGTTCCCTTTGTCAGATGTAACTGTAACGCGTTTCTTTTTTGTAACGTTTACAGCACTAGAAATAATTAAAAAATTTTAATATGATATACTGGATTATGTTAACTTTTCAATTTTTAACTATCCAATTAAAGATCTTCATAAATATATACACATTCCATTACCAATGTAAAATTTATTTTAGCTTTATATCAGATGGGTTCAGAAATTTCAGATTAATCTTTTACACCTGACAATTAACATAAGCCAGATTGTCTGCATTCTGTTATTAACAATAATCATTTATATTAATTATAAATTATTTTAGCGATGATTATCTATTTAAATACATTCTTCCTATATTTTATTTTATTAAAAATTAGTTTAAATTATAATAAAAATATTTTAAAATATATATATATTTAAATATTACTTTATATATAATTTAATATTACCTTATATATATATTTTAATATTACTTTATATATAATTTTATATTCCTTATATATATATTTAATTAAATATTCATAAATATATATTTTAATATTACTTTATATATAATTTTATATTCCTTATATATATATTTAATTAAATATTCATAAATATATATTGCATAAATTATAATATAAATATTTTAAATGTTAAATGTCTCTTGTTTGTATATACCATCTTTCTTTTTTTTGACTCAAACAGCTGTGGGAATATTTAGGACCCGAACCCATTTTTAGGGCCTGGGCACGAAATACGAAACAGCGAAAATCAAGGAATATTCCCAAAAGATGGCCAACATTTTCGATATGAGAAAAGTATATAATTAGTTTTAATGAAATATTAATAATTTAATGTGATACAGTAAATAAATTTAATAATTTAGGAACAAATTCACAGTTTACAAGCAACTTTCACATAAGAGATACTCATGAAAGTATAAATTTTTTAGCAATTGATTACAAATTTAGATGATTTTAGGCCCAAATTTAATTCAGCCAACCTAAAATACAAAAAGAAGATACAGAGGTCATGCTTACTTCTGCTGAAGGTATAGATTTATTTATTTTATTATATTAAATTAAATTTCTTAGTGGCAAATAATTCAGCTTGCAAATGATAATAAATCAGCAGGAAAAGCAGCTATTGAAGATTATTATTATATGAATAAAATATTCCTTTTTTTTCAACCCTTTAAATAAACATAATTAATAATTTTATTTTAGATGATTGTCAGTTTCCAATAGATACACTGTTAATATTTTATCAATGCATATTGTATTATTATTGTGTTATTATAATATTATATATTATTCAGTGCAAATATAAATGATCTATTGTACACTTAAAATTGAATGTAAAAGATATTATTTAAAATTTAAATAATTAAAAAAACCCTTTATTTACTAATATTAAATTAAATTTCTTAATGGCAAATAATTCAGCTTGCAAATGATAATAAAGCAGCTACTGAAAATTATTATTGTATGAATATAATATTCCTTTTTTTTCAACCCTTTAAATAAACATAATTAATAATTCTATTTTAGATGATTGTAATTTTCCAATAGATACACTGTTAATATTTTATCAATGCATATTGTATTGTGTATTATAATATTATATATTATTCAGTGCAAATATAAATGATCAATCTGTCTATGCAGTGTACACTTAAAATTGAATGTAAAAGTTATTATTTAAAATATAAATAATTAAAAAAAACCCTTTATTTACTAATATTATTTAAATTTCTTAGTGGCAAATAATTCAGCTTGCAAATGATAATAAATCAGTAGGAAAAGCAGCTAATGAAAATTATTATTATATGAATATAATATTCATTTTTTAACCCTTTAAATAAACATAATCAATAAATCTATTTTAGATGATTGTCATTTTCCAATAGATATACTGTTAATATTTTATGAATGCATATTGTATTTATGATTTGTGTCATTATAATATTATATATTATTCAGTGCAAATATAAATAATCAATCTGTCTATGCAGTGTATACTTAAAATTGAATGTAAAAGTTATTATTTAAAATATAAATAATTTTAAAAAACTCTTTATTTACATGAATAAATTTTTATAAGAAAGAAAGATATTTTGTTTGCCATGCTTTTAAATTAAAATTACACAAAATCAGTATTTATAAATTGAAAATATATAAATACCATATTTAGGATATAAAAATGATTCATTTTATATTAGGCAAGGCAATAACAATTGTGAAAAAATTAATAACATATTTATTGGTCTATTAGTTATTTTGTTTAAATCATTTTTATAATATAATTTAAAAAATTAAACATTATATTTAATTAAAAATACAATAAATATACAAAATATATTTTATTGATAATATTTAAAGATAGAGTTTATGTAATGGCCATACATTATTAATGTCGTATAAAATTAATATTAAATATTATATTTAATTAAAAATACACTAAATAAACAAAATATTAGTATTTTATAGATAATATTTAAAGAAGATAGAGTTCATGTAATGGCCATACATTATTAATGTCATATACAATAAATTAGTATTTATAAAGGGACAATATATAAATACCATGATAACTTAATTTATTTGGAAAAAATTAACATATTTAATAATATACTATATATATTAATAATAGATATAATATTATTTTATGACTTTTTAGTGGAGTTATATATAATGGGAACATTTTTTTATTTTTCGCTATTCTGATTTTCGCTGTTTCGTACCTAATTCATTTTTAGATGGGAACATTAACAGCGTCAGTTAATAACTTACAAATGCATTCATTAATCTCGACATCTAATCATAATTCCTTATTCCGGAACAATAATCAAAACAATTCTCTTCTACCTCCTATAGCTGTTTCGAATTTGATTCCAATGATTTTACCATTCGCAGAAAATCACATTCGCGATGTTTGGGCTCATAATTTAGAAGAAGAATTTAGAATTATACGAAAAATTTGTCAAAAATATCATTTTATTGCAATGGTAATTATTTATTATTAACATATTTCTTAATGTATTTTTTTTATCAGGACACAGAATTCCCTGGAGTAGTAGCCAGACCTATTGGGAATTTTAAAAGTGTTTCAGATTATCAATATCAACTTCTTAGATGTAATGTCGATTTATTAAATATTATTCAACTAGGATTTACATTTATGGATGAAAATGGTAAAACCCCACCTGGTTATCTGACATGGCAATTTAACTTTAAATTTAGTTTGAAGTAATTTGTTATTTTTTATAAATTCAATATTTTACTCTAAAATTTTTGTAAGCTTTTAGTTGTGTTAAAATTTGGGAATATGTTAAAAATATTACACATTTAAATTAAATATTAAATTTAATCGTTATATAAGTTTCTGAGCAAAATGATTTTTTCTAATATAATATTGTCCCACATTTAATATGACTAAATTTTATATAATTAACTACCTCATATCTCTAACTCTTATAACTGAATCCTAATCTTAAATCTTATCATCAAATTTCTTAAATCATTTATGATAATTAATACAATAATGTTCTTAACAGTTCCAAAAATTTAATTTTTAAATCATTATAAATAATATTTATAATGGTGCATTCATAAATGTTAATCCTTTTTAATTTCAATGCTTCACATAATAATTATATTACCCATTATTTATTAGAGAAAAACTCTTTTTTTAAAAAAAAATCAAATTAATAATTTAACTGTTTTGTTATATATTGTAGAAGTTTTAAATTTCGATGGAGAATTAGGCTAGTATTTAAATCTGTTTGGATTAAGTCTACATTGGTGGATTTTTTTCTTGCCTTCCCACACCTGCTCATACTTGGAATGGGCATTGTTGGGGTTTTTTTAAAAATATTTTTAACATTAGGCAAGTGGCCAGAGGGTTAAAAAATTTTTAAACTAATGGGCAGGCATGGGCATGTAAATTTTTGATATTTCTCAGGCAAATAGACAGAACAGACTTCAATTTATTAAAAATACTTCATAATATTGCATATTATATATGTTTAATTAAAACTACATTTAAATAAATAAAGAGCCAAACCAGTCATTAAAATAATCTTTAAACATTAGGTGGGGGGGGGGGGGTTAAACAAAAATTTTTGATAAATTGGGGGGTGGGGTGAGTAAATTGTTTAAAAAATTTATAAGTGAGCAGGTTGGTGAGTTAATGGGCAGGCTTTTTGGCTAAAAACCTGCCCATTGCAAACCTTTAGTTACAATAACATATTTATTTAAATTGTAAGCTCTGTATTTTTTGAAAAAAGCAAATTTTATAATTTTTATTCGGATCATACTTGGGGTTGCACATCTCCTTATTGGTGATTTAATTTCAGTATTAACCTATAGAAAAAACATATGATTGACCAATACATATAAATAGTCTAATAATTAATCAATTGTTTTAGCTAAAAAAGATATTGCATCAGTAATATATTATCAAAATTGATTATTTGAATAAAATAGGGATTAGAAATTTAGATTTTGTATTTCTTTTATCAATTATCTCCTTCCTTATACTTATTTAGATGGGCATGATACAAAAAATTATCAATAATAAAGTTTTATGTTAAAATATAATTTTACAAATTATGAATTTTCTCAAATGACAATAAAATTTAAAAAGCTACATGTATCCTTTAATAAAATATATATTTAATTAGTAGTAATATGACATTTATAATCTATTCACACAAAATATGTTAATATTAATATTTTCACTAAAACACCTTTTTAAAAAAAACTACATTTTAATATATACTATGCAAACAAAAATTTAATGGCTGGAAAAGATGTAATACATTTCACTAATCTTTCCTCACAAAGTTATCAACATTCACTCTCAATTATCGAATTTGCCATATAATTTTACTTTCCCCAAAAAATAATAATTTCAACTTTTATAAGTTAACATTTTTTACAATTTTTAATAAAAATATTTGAAGAACAATTTAATGTATTTGTAATAAAATTAAGTCTCCATGGATTATTTTTCATGTACTGTATTAATTAGATCTAAGATGAATTAAAATATAAATAGTACCATATGTAAACATAATAATACTATTAAATCAAAGTCAAGCATTTTATAAGCATGAATAACAAATCTCTTGAAATTCTCTAAAAATATGAATATATCTTATTTTTTCCTTGTATAAATAGAAAAATAATTTAATCAGCAGGTATCTCATTATTTTTTTTTTCGATATTAAATATCTTGATATTTTATCTAAATACTGCATTGGTGTATAAGTAGCATCTTATTTTCTCGTCTATTATACAGTATTTTATTTTTCTCTCTGTAACTTTTTTCCCATTAAGCAATTGAATGAATTTGATGTCCATATCTTGTTTTATTTGTTTTCAATATCAGTATAAAGATATAAATTGGGATGAAAATTTGTTATATCCTCTTTTAGAGAATGATGAAATCCTTCAACTTGGTTGTTTGTTCTTACTCCTTGAACATCATACATGTTCCGCATCTTATATTTAAATTTAGCATTTGAGTTAATCCAAGTACCTTTAATATATGTAAAAATTCTTAAGGAATCTAAATTAAAGGTATTTACTTCACTATTTAATTCAAAAAATGCCAATGGTAAGTTCATTTCAAGGTATCGACATTAGTCTGCTATAAAATCTCTTAAAATCAGGATTAAGATGACGGCACCCTATTACCCTGTATACGTCTTAAAATTCATTGACAATAATGAAAATCTTTTGACAGAAATGTTAAGTTTATTCATAGTAAAATTGCATAATGTTCTTCCTCAGATTCATCAGAATGGTTGTGAACATAATGTAAACTTCATATTTAATAATATACCTCTAAAGGTACAATTCCTTAGCCTACATTTAAATTAAATTCCAAATTTATGGTGTATATATAGATACTTATTTGAATATAATAAATTACGTTTTTTTTGGGAAAGAACTACATTTAAATCTGAGAATTGAATGTTATTAAATAATACTGGTAAAATTTCATAGCTATCAGCTGCTATAGAGATATCGACTACATCTTCTTCATCTATAAAACTTTCGTCTAAAAATGGAAAATCTACAGGGAGGCCTATCATTAAAGGCAAAGTCTCTTGATCCTCTTCCAACATGATACCAGCAATCCCTACACCACTCTCCCCAGCCTCTTGTTCAAGATTGATTACGGAAAAAACAGTCTCTTGATCTTCTTCCAACAGGATACCAGCAATCCCCACAACACTCTCCCCAACTTATTGTGCAAGACTGATAGCTCTGAAACTTTACCAGTATTATTTAATAACATTCAATCCTCATATTTAAATGTAGTTCTTTCCCCCAAAAAACGTAACTTATTTTATTCAAATAAGTATCTATATATTCACCATAAATTTGGATTTTTATTTAAATGTAGGCTAAGGCATTGTAGCAAGAGGTACATTATTAAATATGAAGTTTACATTGACACATATTCACAACCATCCTGATGAATCTCAGGAAGAGCATTATGCAATTTTACTATGAATAAACTTAATTTTTTTGATAGATCTTAGAGATTTTTATATATTGTTTTTTTTACTATAGATAGTTTTTATATATAAGCATTTTTAAAAATTTTACAGATTCTAAAGTGGCTCTTTTTTGCACCTATGAGCCCCTATATCCCGGGAAGCAGGCGTGCTAGCGAGCTAAAATAAACGGATTTCTCATTTTTTTTGCCTATCTATATCTAAATAATTCCAGACATTTAAAAACAATTTTAACAGGGGTCGGCCCAAAATGTGCCTTTTTTGATCTATTTGGCATGGAATGACTATTCTAACGAAACCATAAACCTCCGCCTACATAAATGACTATAAATATTAAAAAAAATCTATCACTTTACAGCGAAGGTTAGCATGACGAAAATTTAGAATCATTTGCATATTGGAAATCTCTTATTCCATGTTTTAATTTATACGACAAAGTTTTAACAGTAATTGTAAAATAATTATTAATACTATATCTTTTATAATATATATTTAGTTTATGAGGTCAGAAAATTAAATATTTGAGAGTATACTGTAATCATATTTTATATATCCACCATAAAAGAATTATTATTCAGGGAAAATAATTAATAATATTAACATGGTTTCCGATTTTCATAATATTAAACCGTAGCCTAATTTATTCCCTCTTTAAAAAAAATAAAAGATAAATGTTTTTCCACAATTAAAAAAATTACATTATTTAATATCCAGGTTTGGTATAAACAGGGATCTAAACCGAAACGAATATCGGTTCGGTTCGGGTTCAGATTCGGATAAAAATAACGGTTCAGGTTCGGTTCGTAAAAAGTAAAAATATCGGTTCGGTTCGAACCTCTAAAACCTGTTTGAACACTTATATTCAAACCTACATTTGAATTATGTATAGGGAAAATATTTTTTTATTTTATCATTAATTTAAAAAACACATATATAAAACATTTTTATTAATTGCACATTATAAAATAGTATTTAATTTATAAATATAAAATAAAAATATAAATCAATGATTTATTTTAATATGAACAATATTTTTTTTTTATACTTAAATTTTTTTTATTAAGCCGCACAATTACTATATTTTTAAAATTCGTCTCACTCAAATTACATCTATAAGGAGATAACATAAATTTAATTGTTGAAACACCTTTCCACACTAACTTGAGTAGCCGGCACTGCCAATATGATATCAGATTTGATGTGTCATTTATAATAATATTTTGGATTTAATTTTTCTTAAGCATTATAATTTATAAGCTTAAAATATTTAAAAAATATTGTAAAATTACAATATACTAAAATTTATAAAAATGATGACCTACACTTATCAATCAAATGTGTTTGATGATAATCTTTAAAATAATTCGAATATAATTGAAATCTAATAATAACCTACATATTATTTTATAAGCATAAAATTATGAGACTCGAACCGGTTCAGAGGCATTTTAGCGATTCGGTTCAGGTTCGACTGGAATTTTTTTAGCGGTTTAGGTTCGGTTCAGGTTCGATAAAAATTACCGGTTTTTAGCGGTTTAACGGTTCGGTTCAGGTTCGATTTGGATCCCTGGGTATAAAGTTTAAGTGACAATATAATTATATCAAAGCTACCCTTTTTTTAACGCGTGTCTCAATTCTTCATGGATTTTCTGGCGAAATTCAGCCAAATTAGCCAACTATGACTTTTATGGCGCGTTTTACCTTGACCTTAATTAGTATGTTACTTTAATCTTTCAAGGAATGACATGTACGCCCAGGACAGTATCGATTTGTTACAGAAGGCTGGTCTTCAGTTTCAAAAGCACGAAGAAGATGGGATAGATCCTGACGATTTTGCTCAATTGCTTATGATGTCCGGAACCGTCTTAATGGATAACATTAAATGGCTCTCATTCCATAGGTTATTAAGATGATATTGTATTTAACATTTAATTAATTAATAAATACAAAAGTTTATAAAAAATTTTGGTAAGCGGGTAGCTATTGAGCTACCCTAACCCATATCCATGTTTAACCGTAGGCTCGCCCAAGAGGTTTATCCTAGATAAATATTCGATTACCTTGAAAAAAAAAATTGTAGAGATCTGCAATAGACACATTTTTAGCATGCTATGGAAAGAGCCAAGCCAACCAATCAAATAATTTTTAAACATTTGGGTGGGTGGGGTGAGATTAATTTTTTTAATACAATGGTAAGACCGGGCATTTGGGTTAAAATCTGCCCATTGCAGACCTCCGCACCCAGACCACAAGGAAACAACTTCCTTTAAAAAAAAATAATGTATACAATTTTGTTTACTTTAAAAAATAACTATTTAATATTAAATGGAGATTATGTTCAACCTGCAACCTTTACATTTTAAAAATCATATGATTAATTAATTAATTTAAAAAAAAATTGAGTTTGTTCAGCACTTAATACTTTTTTTTTATATAAAAAAAACATGATTCAAATTTGTAATCTCGATTTTATATAAAATTCACTGCCAAGCCAAATAAAGCAATACAACCTTGTTTCATCGATAACCTTGAATAATTAATTTTTATTGTTTTTTATTTTATAAGCGATAACTAACATAGGTGTTGTTAAACGGCGCGCGATTTAGCCAATTTTTTTTAAATCTAGATTTTAGGCAAAATAATATTTTGCAAGCCTCAAAACCTTTGAGCAAAATCTCCTGGCTTACGGTGATGTTTTTTTTGGCTAAAATATTGGTTTAGCCGTTTAACAAACATTATAATTACATAATAGCCATTATTATTTTTTTAATAAAAGAATGAGATGGGATGTAAAAATTAATAGTATTTTTAAAAAGTCACATTTTCGTACTGCTAGCTCGATTGTGCCATGGAGTTCTAATGCCCAACGTTTTGAGTAAAATTTAAGTATTTTTTTTTGTTTAGAGAAGATTTAAATCATAAAAATCACAAAAGATTAGGAATTTTATGGAAAATTTGATCAAAAAAAAACTTGTATGAACATTCTCAAAAAAAATTAATCTTCAGAAGATCTGAATCTTTGAAATTTTGTTTTTATTTTTGAGAACATTACTATAACAACCAAAAAAGGCTATATATGAACCTAATCAACATTATTGACCACTTTGAAGATGCTAATAAAAATAAGTTATATAAACTTTACTTTTCTGAGAATTAATCTAGATATCAGTGGGGTCAGCTTATTCACTCGTTCGTTCATAATATTGTTATTTATTGAAGATTTATTCCCCATCTTCATAATAAAAACTACTTCTTATAGTGCCCACAAATTAAGCGTTTCAAACGTAAATAATGCATTTCAAATAGTATCGCGCAAATTGGTCATATTACCGCTTGACCTTAGAAGCCATTTTAAAAAACGCAAACTAGTTTGCATTTTTCGATAGTTTTTTTTATTCATTCATTTTGTACGTTAAGATTTTTTTTTCTCAAGAAGGCCGACAATAATAAGGGGCAGGGCTGTTCCCTTCATATAAATTAAATTAGAATGTTTATAAAATGTAAAATAAATAACTTATCTTTTAAAATGGAATATTTAGAAATTAATGAAAGAAAAGGGCAGACGATAATATAATTTACAAAAAACTTTTTTTATATATATAACAACTTACGCCGCATTTATAGTAAACGCGTTATCTTCAAGCGTTGCGATATTTAACGCAGCGTTATTATAGTTGATTCTTCATGTCGTAAGCTAATTTATGATAAAGCTAAAATAGAACTATTTTATATAATATTTAAAAAAAATTGTGTACCCTTTTATCGAATTCGCTATATCATCACATATTTCTTATTAACGCATCGCAACATATGTTTTTCAAAAAATATCACAGCGTTATCATCACAACGCTTCATATTTATAAATTTGTTCCTATTTATTGACTTTATTTTATAATAACGCTTGAACATAACGCGTTTATAAATGAGGCCTTAGTTAAAAATTTGAATCGACGATACTAATAAAAATGGCAACCTCAATTTAATTTAAGCAAGGAAGGCTGCGTTACGTTTTTTTAATTAAAAAATTACGGCAAAACGCAAACGTTTAATTTGTGCGCACTGTTATAACGTATATATTTTAATTTCTTATTTAAATCAAAGCGGATACGATTTTGGTTATCTATTAAAATTGTTGACCGTTAGTCCGTTGCCAGCTGACGAAAGCCAATTTTTTGAGCTGGTGCAAATATTCTTCCCGTATATCTACGACATTAAATACTTGATGAAAAGTTGTCGCAGTTTAAAAGGAGGTCTCCAGGAGATAGCCGATCAATTAGACGTATAAACCTTTAATCAAATATATTTTATGCTTCTTTATAATATCACCTATCTGGGCGGAAGTCAAGTTTGTTTGAGCCGAACCTCCGAAACATTATTTATATATTGATCGGATAACCCAAACCTTAATCTTTTGTAATCATAATCTTTATGACCTCTTTTGACTTATAAAGGGAGAACGTGTCATAAGGGGCATTTTCTTGAAATAATGCCAATCATCATAATTATATTTTAGTCTTAATTGCTGATTAAAATTAATGATATTATTATTATTGATTTAAAAACAATAATGTTAAGGGCATTTCTTGAATAATGTCAATCATGTTTGTAAATATTAAATAATATTATTAATTTTGTAAACAATAATGTTTTGCATATATATAAGCATAAAAATTAAGACTCTCACCTTATCTATATTTTTAACGATTTTTACCACCCTTCTCTTTCATATAAAATTATAAAAAAAAATAGCAAAAATTGTATATATATAAATGGGTATGCCAAAATAATAAAATACAGTTTATTCTGCTATTATTAATTTATTTCCAAAAGATCGGATCTGGTTAAATAGGACTGCCCCGAACCACAAATTTTTTACCGATCCGATATTACTAAAAACTATACCGATCCGATACTTTTATTGATTTTTATTTACTAATCTTTGTATATCAATGTCATAATACAATATTTTCAATTTTGAAAACCAACTAACTTTCACAAATGATTTGTTTTTTTTTGCAATGTTTATATTGAATGTGTTGTTAAACAACACCATTTGGCCAACTTTTTAAAAAAGGGCAAAATCAATATTTTCGCCAAAATATTATTGCCTAAGCCTCGAAATGTTGCCAATAGAAGTCTACCTTTCTGCCATTTGTGACCAAAATCTTGAGCTAAACATTTTAATTGGCTAAATCGAACAGTTTAACAACACTAGCTGAATTTGACTTGTTAGATAATTTTTAAAATCTTTTTCTTATTGCAAATAATTTAACAAAAAATAGTATAAAATTTGTAATTATTTATTATTATGAAATTATTTATAAAATAAAAATCATAAAATATCCAAAAACAATATCGGCACAACCCTAGTTTTAAATGATATCGGACTTATCGGGATTCTCCCGAAAATCATTAGCATCGATGCCGACCAGGTTTTGAGATGATTTATCGGACAATTATAATAAAAAAAACCACAAATCTTCCATTAAAAAAAAACTTGAAAATTTTAAGGCATAAATAAATACTGATATACAGCTAAAAAAATGATCGAGGGCTATTAAATTGATTTTTTAAAAAACATTTAGTGATATATATTATAAATTCTTATAAATTATTTATAAAAAGCTGGAAAGGATTGGGCCGCAACACACAGCTGGTAGCGATAGTTTATTAACTGGAGCCGCCTTTTTTAAAATGCGCGAGGTAAATCTTATTTTATATCAAAATATACTGTAAGCATTTCTAAAATAAAAAATCGAACGCATTTAACATTCATTGACAAAAATAAACGCGTTTCAGGTTCGTCCAAAAACTTTTATGAATAAATTAATTTTAAAAAAAAAAAATTTATTTTAATATTTAATTTAATATAAATAAATGTCCTGTACTTTTTAACACAATATATTACCCATATTTAAAATTGATAATTATATTTTGATGATAAATACAATAAAGTTCGTTAAAAAGAAAAGAAACGCCATTCGTCATTTTATTTTCAATAAAAAAAAACGAACTTCGTTCACTTGAACACGTTCGTTTACATCATTAATATCAATTAATTCTCTTTTAATTAATATTTATGCCAGCTTATAATAAAACTTTGATTCATTTTATTTATTTCTTTAATGTTAAAATTACTATGGGTCACTAGTTCTATTTGCTTTGACCTGATGGCCTTATATTTTTTTTTTCGATTTTCAGTTTCAATTTTTGTAATTTCGAAAATTTTGACCGAGCTCTAGCCTTGATTGGACCAATTCGGCTGACAAAATAAGTCGAAACTTGATCTGAATGCAGTCGACAATTTTTTTTTCTCTAAGTTTTGACATAGTCAGGACCGGTCTAATTTACCTTAACCTATAATAACATCTCTCGAGTGCACCGATGAAGCATAACTTCTCCTATTTGCTATCTTAAATATTTGTCTCCTTTATTAGTTCTAATTTTTTTATTTTTAAATTTAAAATCTTAGATGTATTTTGAAGATAGCATAGACGATATAAAGTATTCCGGTCATCTTTACGGTTTAGGCGCACCTTACAACACCCTTAACAATACTTCCACCACGAATACACTCATCAATAATAACGCTAATATCAACATCAATAATTCCAATTTTAATAACAATTTAAATTCAACTGCCAATATTCCACTGTCAAATAATGAATGAATGAATTGCATTTTGATCGTTAAAGAAATATATTTTATTTGTAATATATAAGTATTATTTAACAGCTATTTCTTTTTTTTTAAAAAATATTTCTTGAATGTTTGTTTAATAATGATTATTTTAAAATATATAATGACTGGCATTTTTATAAGTTAACTACATCTAATAACTGTCACTTTGTGATTAATAAGTATGAGTTGGAAAATCATTTCATTTCTAATTTTGATGAATATCTTAATGTTGGGCTTTCTTTCTTTTTTTAAAAAAATAATATACATTTTAGTTAAAAATATGCAAATTCAAATATCATAGACATAAAAATAAATTTATATAATTCCAATTTTAGATATTTAATTTGTCTTAAAATTGAATAGTATTTTCTAAAAAAAATCTATTTAAGCTCAATATTTAAAATTTGAATTATAAATGAGTTGGATTAAAGATACATACGAACCTATCCGAATCAGCCCGAGGATGAGGTTTAGTTCGGCTTAATGCATATCTATCTCTATTTCACATAAATTCGTCTCTTAACACTTTATAACCATATATAATCCGATCAGAGCAGTTTTAATTTAATTATTCATCACATAAAATCCATAATATTTTAACTGGTCTAAAAATGGAGATAACGACTATGAATATTAATTTTAAAATCTGGTTCTGATAATATTATAAAAGTTGGATCCGGTGTTTGTAGTTCATTTTCCTGGAACCGATTTCTGAACATTTTTAAATGGATTACTGCTTCAAAATGATGAAAATCACATATCAATCTAACAACCAAATCTGTATATACTGGTATAAATAATGCTATATGTATTACAAAAGTAACAGTATCATTTTTTTAAAGAAAAAATAAGGTAATCGCGTTACTTTTGGGAAAAATTACGAAGTAAAGTAACGCGTTGCTCTTTATTTCTTTCATTACTTATATTATATAGTCATTTTTATTTAATAAAAATCTCTGAATTTATGGTATTTTCTATTTATGTAATAAATATTTATAGATTGATAAAATAAGATAAAAACAATTTAGTAAAGTAATGGCGAGAGAGACACAAAATGCAATTACCTTCCTTTTGTGGGTAACATCGAGAATCATAAATACATTAATATATTTGTGAAACCATATAATCCGAGTGACGGAGAGTCTATAGAAGCATTGCCTACCTTGCCATTTTTCTTAAATAAATATTTAATACTATATGTTGCGTTGAAAAATTTAGAGTATTTTTACTGCGTTATCATTTTATTACTATTTATATTACGTTATTAAAATTAATATTATTTTTACTACGAAGTAAATACTAAAATGCTTTTTTTTCTTAATGCAAAGGTGAAAGAAAAACTTGTAAATTTTAATTTTGTCCTTTTTTTAATATCAAATTTATTATCTTAAATTCGATGATTAATTTAAAATGTTTTAAAATTGCAAATGTGTTCTAAATTTATTGAAAGTAATATTTAGCACAAGAAATTCTGATGTGAAGAAGTTGATTATTGCAAAATAAATAATAAAACCAATTTTACAAATATAAAAAGAAATGAAAACTTGCAAGTTTGATTTATCCATCTAAAAATATGATATGCTCACTGGATGGGAATTTTCTATATTATTACTCATGCCGTCATCCATTGATCATTAAATAATTTTTGCCTCCTATCAGTACTTCATTTAGCTTCATATTTACTTTCAATCACCAGACAGTTTATTGGCACTGCATCCCCTTCTTACATTAGTGAAGTTCAACTAGAAGTTAAGGAAAAAATAGATTTTTTTTACCACAATTCATTAAAAAATTAACAAATTTGATAAGTAATTTTTAAAAAAAACAATAAGGAAATAAGTTTAAAATACCTTAAATCGATTTCACATGATTACTATTTTTTTAATGTATATATATATTAAAAAATGAATAAACCTGTGCTTGTATAGTTTAGTATAAACGAATTAGTTTAATATATAAGTTGCAATAGAAGGATTTCACTGAATAGGGTAGATCTACATAACTTTTTTTATCTAAAAATTAATAAATATTGATACTCCCAAACTTAAAAATGAAGTAACTATTAATAAATATAATGAAAAGTATAAATAATGGATTCAGAATTTTAATTAGTAAAATTTATCCGCAAAAATGGGAAATTACAGACGTTACTATAAAATCAATAAAAGACTAAATAAAAAATAAATAGTAAAACGTTAAAATGAGATGATACTATTCTTTTTCGAATTATTCTTAATCCTATCATACAAGATAATATCAAATTGTATACTTATAATACAGGACAAAGATATTATAATAATTTAATTTGATGGAACTGAACATTATTCAGTTTAATACAAATTTTTATTTTATCCAACCCCAGGCAATAGTTAGCATAAGCTATGGCTTATGCTTTTTTAATTCATCGATTCATGTTCATTTATTTTCTTGACTCTGTTTTATGGATAATTCAGCACCACTAAAAACAATTCACGATTATGCCAAAGAGGTATTCATTATACATAATATAAAATAATTCTTTTAAGAAATCAAATTACATATTAAAATATACGCTAGCTGGTCATACAAGATCAGTTTCATCCTTAAAATTTAGTCCTAATGGGGAATGGTTAGCAAGTTCATGTAAAATATATACATAAAATATCATGTATACCAAAAATTTGTAGCTGCCGACAAATTAGTAAAAATTTGGGGTGCCTATGATGGCAAATTTGAAAAAACTATAGTTGGACACACTTTGGTTATATGCATATCTTATTGATATTTAAAATAATGAATTTAGGGTATATCAGATATTGCATGGTCAAGTGATAATAAGTATATAGTAACTGCATCAGATGACAAAACACTAAAAATATGGGATGTTAATTCAGTATCTCAAATATTTTATATTTAATTTAAATGTATTATTTAGGCCAATTGCCTAAAAACCTTAATTGGTCATTCAAATTATGTGTTCTGTTGTTCATTTAACCCACAATCAAATATGATTGCATCTGGATCAGTATAAAATTTATTTATTTAATTTGTTCTAAGCTATCCAATTTAAAAAATTTCAAAGTTTTAAAATTTTAATGAAATATGTTAAATTTTTCTAGATATTTGGACATGTTTATATCTATAGATTTAAAAAAGACTTATTTCTTCTTTTTTGATAGTTACAAAAATTTATGTCAATTTTGTAATATTTTAGATAGTCTTATTTAATTTTTTTAGTTTGACGAAAGTGTACGTTTATGGGATGTTAAAACTGGGAAATGTTTAAAAATATTGCCAGCTCATTCAGATCCAGTGTCTGGAGTAGATTTTAATAGAGATGGCTCATTGATTGTTACCAGTAGCTATGATGGATTAATGTAATTTTTTTTTACATTTGATTTTTCAATTAATTTTTAGACGTATTTGGGATTCTGCTACTGGTCAATGCCTTAAAACATTATTAGGTTTATAATAATACATAAATGATAATAATTTATATATAATTATAGAAGAAGAAAATTTTCCTGTTTCATATGTGAAGTTTTCCCCAAATGGAAAATTCATTTTAGCTGCATCTCTTGACAGGTTTTTATTTTAATAAAACTTTATATTTTAAACTTAAAATTACAGTAAATTAAAATTATGGGATTATACCAAAGGAAAGGTAAATAAAAATAAAAAATTATTAATTGTTTTAGTGTTTAAAAACCTACAAAGGTCATCAAAATCAAAAATATAGTATATTCGCAAATTTTTCAATAACAGGAGGAAAAGTGAGTTTTTTTAAAATACCTATTTGTATTAACAATTACTAGTGGATTGTTTCTGGATCCGAAGATAATAATGTATATATATGGAATTTACAAACCAAACAAATAGTGCAAAAACTCACGGGACACACTGGTAATTAAATATAAAAGCATATGTAATTTGCTTTGGTAACCTCCATTCCAAGTCTATAACAATGAGATCCTCTTAAGAGCACTGTAAATACAATTTTTTGTGTTAACACTCAAATAGGTTGGAGCTAACTCTTGCTCCTACAATTTAAAAATGAGCTAGCTCCCATTATTGACTTTTTAAAGGAAACCAGCTTCCACTAAAATTAAAAAAAGAAGTACAGCTCCTTTGATTTTAATTATTTTTTAATGTAATATACACAAAACAAAATCTTTTTTTTATCTATTCAAAGAAAATGGTGGTTGTTTGAGATAATTTATAATCTTTTACAATTTAAAAATGAGCTAGCTCCCATTATTGACTTTTTAAAGGTAACCAGCTTCCACTAAAATTTAAAAAAGAATTACAACTGCTCCTTTGATTTTAATTATTTTTTAATGTAATATACACAAAACAAAATCTTTTATTTATCTATTCAAAGAAAATGGTGGTTGCTTGAGATAATTTATAATCTTTTATTTGCTAACCTTAAATGTATTTAGTCTACTAATGATGTGCTCAACAGGAGCACTAGAGAAAAGATTAGTATTATATTTTATATAAATATTTTTTAAATCATATTATAATTATTGAATAAATATATTTATTATAGTATTGTTTAAAAAATATTTGTCAAATATATTCTCTTCCTGATAATCTTTATTTGATTGACTCCAAAATAATTTTCTAAATCATTGAAAGACATTTTTTGGTCTGATAGTAGGTATATTTATGTTTGGAATAAATTTCCTTATAAATTTAACCAATTTATTTTTTAGTTCTCTACTTTGAACCCTTTCTATGCATGTAACTTGGCCTAGACTTCAAAAGTGTGCTTATCTTCAACACCTTTTAAGATTAAGGCTGCAGACTTTGTTGTTATGATTTTGATAGAATTTTTTTATACCCAATTAAGTATCTTCTACACTTTAAACTTTTTTACTTCGTCTCTTTAACCTCCTATAAGACGCCAATGAAAGGTTTAAAATAAATTTTATTTTATCAAATTAAATTTTAAAGTTCAAAAGATAATACTACTTCAAAATGATATGTATATATTAATTATATGATAATAAATAATCGATTGTATTAACATATAATCTAAAATACCATTAATCGTTACATTACAGTTTTTAATTTATTTCATATTCTAAAAAATATCTTCCATGTTTTATAAATTTATATTATTTTTATTGTATTTCATTCATCAAAAATACATTTAATTAAGATTATTTTTTAAACAATCTATGATAATATTTAAAAAAGTGGAGGAGCGACACTCCTTCCAAGATAGAGCTAGCTCCCACTCCCAATTTTTGAAATGAAATCATCTGGCAACACGGGTTGAAGGGATAGATATTTATATATATATAAATAGTTTAAAAATTAAATAATTGATTTTAACTTAGAATTATTTCTAACCCTCCCCGTTCTCAACAGTCGATACTCATTTTGTAAAACAAATAAAATTTTCATGTATGTTATTTATATCATAATTTATTTTGTTTGAATATTTTTATAACACAATAGATGTTGTACTGTGCACAGCATGTCACCCCACTCAAAATATTATAGCATCGGGATCGTTGGAGAATGATACAACAATCAAACTATGGCATAGTACTAATTAGTGTTTAAATTCTCACCTTATAGACAATATTTGTGATATTTTAATATATTATATATGTATATTTAAACAAAGTATTATATTTGATAAAATGGTATTCATTATTATTCTGCTTTATGACTAGTTTTGCTAAATCACCTATCTTTAGTCAACTCTAAAATAGCTTAACTCATTTCATACCATAAAAATTTATTCCAATTTTTTTAAACTGAGAATCAAATTAATCCTTATAATTATTCCATTACTAAAAAAAAGACACGTAATAACTACCAGTAAAATTTAAATTATATTGTGCGACTTTTTATTTTTATTTAATATACTCAAGCATACATATAATTTCGAGATAGAAATTTCTAAATTGAACCGACAAATGTTAGCACATACATCGCATTTATCCATTAGCCTTTTTTATCTGTTTTCCCTTCTGTTTTGCTGAGGGATATATTGCCGATGTTATTGGTTTTTTCATTCGTAAATGGAGGTAAAGAGAAAAAGGGAATTTTCCCTCTTTGCCAATCATATAAAACGAGTTTAGCGGCTGTCGATATATCAGGGTCACCTCCTTTCAACAGTTTCCCTAATCTGATGGCTAAAGCTGATAAAAATTCTTGGCTGTCTAAATTTTTTATTTCATTTTTAGGTGATAGTTTGATCGAGTTTCCTTCACCTACTTCTGTATCTAAAACTTGTTCCTTCAAAATTGTACTATTTTTTGAATTCTTTTCGTTGGTTTCTTTATCTATGTCTTTAGATGAATCGTTAACTTTTAAGGGTTTCACACTTTCCGTTAATGGTTCCTTAATAACCTTTTTGTCTGTAGTAATTAAGGGGTCTTTACCTAAATTTTTTTCTTCCGTATTATCAAGACTAATTTGCGTAGATGAGAAATGATGCTTTTGTAAATCGTAGGCATTGAGTAAGTAAGATTGATGTGACATTTTATCGATCAGCGTTTGAATATGATTTTCTGGATCCTTTACATTTTCTACCCTCACCTTTTAAATAGGGTTATATTGACAAAAATATAGATTTAAATATATATTCTTTCAGTATTTTACTCGACTTATAACAATCATATCTTTTCAAGCATATATTTTATATCAAAATAAGAAAGAAGGAATTCATTCAAATTTAAATTCATATTATATAATTATGTTACTCCTCTAACCTGAAAAAAATTATAGTGAATAATATGGATTTAAGGTAGTATTTTAAGAATTTCTTGAACAGTAGAATAACGGATTAAAAAAGTCAAAATTTATCAAAAAGTAAGGTGAAACTATCGATCTTTATTTTCAAAACAAATATTTTTTTTCTATTATTCTTTTTGTTATATTGAAAAAATTTTAAAAGTATGTTTTAAAAGATGTCATATTATAGCTAATAAGAATGTTTTAAAAAATAAAGAAACTCACTACGCCTTTTAAGATCAGGTCTGATTCCGAATTTCCTTCAGGATAAACAACGCCAGGACAGTCTATCAGGTATATACGATTCATGAGCGTTATATACTGCCAAACCTATATTATCAATAAAGGGGTTATTATGACTAACAAGGCTTTTTTTAAAATATTTATTATGCTTCTACAACTATTCTATTCGGAGTTCAAAACCTTGACAAAAAGGGGTTCTACTTCCAGTTTTTGAATATATTTTTATAAAAGGATTAGGGAATTTCATACTTTTGTATGTCCTGGAGTGGAAGCAACCTCACATACCTTTTTCGATTTTAGCGAATTTATGATGGAGCTCTTACCCACATTTGGATAACCGATAAATCCCACACTTATTTGCTTTCTTTCTGGGTGTAACTGTGGTATAAAAATATAATATAGGAAAATTGCCTATTAAATAGTATAAGTATAACATAATGGAAATGCTAAAAAGGAAGAATTAGTCATACGATTGTAATATTTAACAATAAATGTTTAATAATTTAAATTCTTAGATAAACTCCTAATAAGATTGAACCTTATTTTTCATATTCTGAAACGAAATTCTATCATGGTCAAAAGAAATTTTTAAATGATTCGTAGGGTTTAATATGTCTTTTTTTTAAAAAATGAGAAAATCTGTTTATAATCAAAAAAATATAATTTAGCTATTAAATTTTAACTTTAGCGAATTGTCGAAGCAAGTTGATGAGAGACCCCTTACCAAAACATTCATTGATAGAAGCCTTGTAGGCCAACGTAGGATACTGTTTAGACAAGTAAGCAACCCATTTTTTGCACACCCAATTAGGGATGAGATCACATTTATTCAAGATAAAAATCAGATGTTTGTGTGCTTTCTTGTGCTTCAAAAATGATTCAATGTGCTTGGATCGAGTTCCCTGGGGATCCCTTGCATCTAAGACCTGTATCAAAACGTCGGCCGAATCTATTACCTGTAAGGGAAGTAAATGCGTTTTAAATTTGTGTTATTAAAAAAATTATAAAGAGTATTTTTCAGTTATAGATATCTAATTATCCGACAAAAAACAGATAGGGAAAGGGGGCTACCCAACCCTGTAATAATAATTTTTAAAAATATCAAATTTTAAACCACATGGATTATTTTAGAAATATGAATTAAAGGCGAGAAATAATATGTTGGATAGTGTTGTTATAGCGAATTTTTAAAACGACTAACTCAATATTTCAGCCAGAAATATATTGCCCAAGCCTCGAGGCTTTGATAATAGGTAAACCTTTGTGCTATCTATGACCAAAATTTTGAGGCTTGCGTTTTCCTGGCTAAAATAATGAGCTAGCCGTTTTTAAAAATCGAGTTTAAAACACTACTGCTGGATATTGAATATGCCAATTTTAAACGCAAGACAATTTTTATGTGTAATAAAAACCAAAAGACAAATAAAAATAAAGGCAGATTTTAAAAAAGTACTTCCGCTTTATTACAAGATTCAATTTGGTAGTAGGTCCAAATATATATTTTTTATTATATCGCTATTCGATGGTACCAGCCACCCAAGTTAGCATATGTTAAATTCATTCTTCTTTATTATAGATATAATTTAATTGAAGAGAATCTTGAAAATGTTTTAATTGTACATGGCCAGAGATCCTTAAAACCCAGTCCAAACAGGCTCTGGCTTCTAATTTTTAAAAAAATCGAATTGGGCTGGGTCTGGCCTAATATATATATATTTTTTTAAATTTAAGCCAGGTTTAAACTTTATAATATGATATATATTTTTAATTTTTTTTGCAAGAAACAAAACACCAATATTTATTTTTTATTTGTGAAATTATTTTTAATAGTAAATATATAATATATTTAAATAAATTTGGGCTAGGTCAGTCAGGCAAATAATTTGTATTTTAGTTTTGGGTCAAGTTTTTCTGGATAAATAAAAATAAAATTAGGCCAGGTTTGAAGAATTAGGCCCAATGCAGATCATTGTATATGTAGAGAATAGTGATAAAATTTAAAAAAACGCTTGTATGCAAAATATATGAACCAGTTTTTTAAAGGTTCAAACTAAACTGATATTATTATTCTTATAATCGAAACAGAACCGTTATAATTATCTGAAGTAATATTCATTAAATCTTGATCCTAGGTTATAAGGACAACTTTATAGAAAACATGTTATGTTCAAGTAGTGTGTTATTTAGATAATCAAAAAAGATATGTTGCAATATGATGATAAAAAAATATATGTGACATGATTATAAAAATAATAACAAAATTACATTAAGTTTTTATTAACAAGTGGAAGATCATTTAATTTAATATTTATTATAAAGCAGAAGATTATTGGATATTATTGCTTTAATTTACTATAAATTCTAAATAAGGCTCTTTTATTTATTTAAAAAATTTTGTTTTGTAATTATCCTTTTTATGGCCAACTGGATTGTGACCTTCACTAAAATGGATAACTTCAATGATTGAGCTGCTTAAATGAAATTCATATTGATGAAAAAATTTAGGCAGATAAATTTTTAAAAAATATTGAACCCAAATTAAGGGCATAAAAGTATAAGAAATTTAAAAAAAAACTTTGTATAGTTCATTCCAAATTCGTTTTGATTGCCCTTTGCTAAATACAGTATCAGAAACTAAATAATTCACAGGATGTGGATCTACATTTAGAGGATATTTGTTGTTGAGAACAGTAGTGGAAGTTAAAATATCCTGTGATTTACTTTCAAACTTTTCTGTATTTTCATTAACTCGTGAAACAAGTTCCTAACGATATAAGTTTTTAATACATTAAAATAGGATTTTAAAAAATACATTAAAATTATAACTAAAGAAAATAATTATATTATCAGAGAAATATAGTAACATGTTTTTTTTAATTACTATCAAAAATATTTCAAAATTTACTGAATTTTATTAATTCATTAACTAGAACAAGCCAAATATAAATTTTGTGCACTTCATAATCCATGCTATTGATATTTGGTCTTTTTCTATTTGAACGTTTTCCAAACACATCTTGAAATTTAGTAACTTGCAATATATGGGGTTGGGCAAACTATATTTAAGATTTAGCATTACTCATAATTATCAATTATACTTTTTTCTTTTCATGCAAAAGGGTAGTTGGTAGTTTAGATGGAGTAATTATAACTTGATATGGATCATTTAGTGCTGTGTGAATATTATCTTTGAATTTCTGTAAAGTATCTTGAGTTATGGTTCTTGTATTTCCTGATTAAAACTAATATAGTGCCCATTAATAATGATTTTACTCACCAAACCATTTTCTATTAGGTTGAATACGAACTTGAGTCCCAGATGCAAGAATTGATTGAAAAGGAGCTTGTTTAACAATTTTTCCATCTTTATTTCTTTAAGATAACTTTACAAACGATATTATATAATAAATACCTTATTGGCTTGCCAGATTTGGCTATCTTAAGCCTATTTTCTGTGGCTTTATCTCGCGTCGTAAAGTGTTTTTTCTTTTGCACAATTTTCATTTTCAGTTGAGTAAGTTTTGGTCTAAAACACTTATTGTCTAATAACTGCGAATATTATAATATCAACGATATTTTCAATTATATAATATTTCATTTATTAAGTATAAAATAATTATTATTTAGAACAGATTTTCTTAATAGATGTCTATAATTTTAATTATATCAGAAGGATTAAGACTATAAATATATAAAAAAATTGATGGGAGAAGAAAAGGGGGGGGGGGGGGTGAGGATTCATTTTTTATTTTTAAATTAATTATTAAATTAGAATAAAAATAAAAATAACTATTAGAAAACACTCAGATAATATTGGAATTTCAAAATAAAATTTTACTTCTTTTTAAATGTATTTTGTACAGTTATAATTTTTTCTTATACTTTAACTTTTAAATTCGGTATTCATGTGTAAGATAAGATTAAATGCAAAAATTTTAAATTTTGCTTTCTTAAAAATATAAAACTTGTATATTAAGATGTAAAATTTTATAATAATCTTTATTTATAATTCATCAATTGTTATTAAAAAATATAAATAATATAATTACTATATTTTGTAATAAACATAATGTAATATTTTAATATAAAACATTATTTTGTAATAAACATAATTTAATATTTGAATATAAAACAAATAAAACGTTTTAATGTTTAGTTTGATTCAAATAAAAATTATTTTATTCAAATTAACTTAAACAATACACAAAATAAAATTAAGATTTGTAACGACTCCATTAAGCAATGACGTATATAAGTATATTGGTAGATCGGTGGTTTCCGTAACATTATTTATTTATTAAATTTAGGAAACATTATATCCATTTATCTTTTTAACATATAATAATATGTTCAATATAATTTGATATTGTATTTAACCTTGCATACCTATTATGTAGTGTTTTTAAACGGCTCGATTTGAGCCGATTTTTAAAAATGGCTAACTCAATATTTTATCCACTGTTAAGGGTTGGCAGGGAGTAAGCAAGATTAAACTAAAAGATTTACAACTTTTAATAAATAAATTTTAAAAATATTACAACTAAAAAATATATAATAAATTTATTCTTTATATATACAAAAAATCTATTAAGTAATTTAATAAAACTATTTAGTTAAGTTAATATAAATGGTGTTAATTAAATGAATGCAACATATAAAAATTAGCGCTATATAACAACCATTATAATAAAATATAAATCCATGTTTAACATTCCACACTATAAAGGAACCCCGCCTAGGTTCTTTTTAGACGTAAATCTTTCGTGTTCAAGGAGTTTCCCATCTATTTTGATCATAAAATCTGTCATAGTTTCGTCTTGGAATATGATAGTTATTTTGGTTGTAAAATCTTTGGTTGCTATAATATGGTCAAGTCTGCCATGGTTGTCTAAACTGATGTTTGTAATTATTATCATAAAGTCTGTTGTTCTCAATGGCATCAGCTGGGCATTGTCATATCTAGTATTAGTTGGTTCTTGTTAGTAAACTTTCTTATCTTGTCTTACTCCCTCCAAATCTTTGAAAAACGGTTTAGTTGTTCATATGATTTGACTTTGTCATCCTACTGTTAATTATTATCATTGTTTGTTATTAATATATATGCGAAGATTTTAAATGATTTTAGAATATAGGTGTTATTGAATAACGTCGTAATAAAATAAGAATCGTCGAATAATCGAAATAGTATTAATTTAATGAATATCGAATTTGATTAAGAATAATTGAATAAGAATAAATTAATCAAATATTGAATAATCGAAATAATGAATGATTGATCGCGTTTTATTTATTTTATATTATATATATTGAGTTTTGATAATAGCATTTACGTTTCTCAATTCGCGTTTTATATAATAGATTTCGTAATATAGCATTTATTTTTAAGTCTGCGTTTTTTATAATATATCATTATTTACGCGTTTTATATAATAATTTTTATCAATATTAAATTCCAATTTAATCATCATTTATTTTTTAATACCTTTAATTGTAGCGTTTTGTATAATAATTTTTTTATTAATATTAAATTTCAATTATTTTTATTTTTAAATTTTAAATTAAATTTTACTCCCTTGTTTTTCAATATAAACAACTTTTTCATATCATAAATTATCTTTAAATTGTTCTTTCTAAAAAGAATTTTATTTCGCCTTCCATTTCTAATATATGATTTCCATATCATATTCTTAAAAACTTTTTTATCATCAAGATATTTAACTTTCATCTTGCCTTACATTTCTTTATTTTCACAATTTTTTTATCAATTATAAAAGTTTTTATTTCATTAATGTTTATTATCTTATTTTTAAAGTTTATTTCCTTATTTTCTATAATCACAAATGTTTCAAATTTTATTATATAATTGATATCTATTAGTTTATAAGAATCTCTTTCATTTTGAATATATGGTTCTAATTCAATATTTTTCAATTTTTTTTACTAAGAGATTTACAATTAAAATGATAATTTCTTTTATTACAATGTGTTTCTTTATCATATTTATTGTCTAATTTGTTTTTCTTATCATGGGATTCACAGTTATGACATCTAAAGTTTCTGTAGTCTCTACAATTACAATTATAATATCTAAAATTATTATTATTGCAATTTTTATTATAATTAATATCATATCTTTTAACAAAGTTTCGTCCAAAGTTGTTTTTAAAATGCTCATTAGATTTATAATCATTATAATTTCTTTTGTTATAATTAATATTTCTATTATTATTATAATAACCTATGTCACTAGTATTATAATTTTTTTTAGACTGAATTTTGTCAATATCAAATCTATAATGATCTAGGTGAATTAAATACGGCCTATTTACGTTATATTTTTTAATTGTAGCAAGAATTTATCTTTAGGCAATTTAGTTAATTACCACATTTAGTCATTATCCCAGAAATCAAAAATACGAAAAATATCAATTGGTAGATCATCAAGAAATTTAACTGTTATTTCGTTATTAAATATTTTTTAAGGTTATCTAAGTAATCATATATGTTCATTATGACTGATTTATATTTAATTTATTAAGTTATATTGGAATTTATAATAACTTCTTCTTTTTTTTTTACTTGGATTTAGAATATTTTATAAATCATCATTGGTTTTGCTACATAGAATTCATAACCTATTGTCTAACTATCATATTGGTTCATGTAAATTCATATATCCAATTTATAATCATTTCCATTTATAACAACTCATATCCATGATAGCTTCATCTAGTTTGATATCTAGTTTAGTAATTCTCCTCATTGTTGATTTATCCATTTGATCTAAATTATAAAAAAAAAAAATTTAAAGATTTTAAAATTGTAAATTCCACTGCCACCATGTTAAGGGTTGGCAGTGAGTAAGCAAGATTAAACAAAAAGATTTACAACTTTTATTAAATAAATATATTTTAAAAATATTACAACTAAAAAAATATAATAAATCCATTAAACAATTAAATGAAACTATTAAGTTAATATAAATGCTGTTAATTAAATGAATGTAACATATTATAATTTGCGCTATATAACAACCTTTATAATAAAATAATAATCCATGTTTAACATCCATAAAAATATTACGCCAGCCTAAAGATTTCACCCATAAATGGCACAAATGTTTAGATTAGACATCTATTATCGAAATATCGATGCTTAGACAATTGTTTTCTAGTTAAAATATTGATTTAGCCGTTTTTAAAATCGGCTCAAAACGAGCAGTTTAACAACACTACTATTATATTAACTTCATTTTATGTTTTACAATTTATATTTATTATAATAGAATTTATCTTCCATTTTATCATTCTAATTAGTATTATTTTAACTTCGATTTTAGGGTAGAAAAAATATATAATAAAGTTTTAAATTTTAATAAATAAGCACTTTAAAAACCTGCCCACCATATTTTACAACAATCGAAGTAATAGAGACATTTTATGGTTTGTTCATCGACCAATTGTCCTATCAATTATAATATTAATGTCATTTAATAGAAGTACACTAAAATTAAACTCCATCTGACTCCTTTACATCCCACATTTAAATGCAATGATAATCTAATAATATAAAATCATTAAATTATGTTTATAAACATCAATTTCTAATTCTTTAATATAAAATTTGATCCATTACTAACCATTATCAAATTAAGAAGAATTCTTTAACATTAGATATTACTACTAGATAAAAATCAATGCCAAAAAATCTTTTTTTAAAATGCAATCTAAATCGATTCATACTCATTTACTTTTAATTTTTGAATATACTTATATTTGTTATCACCAGTTTGCACATGTACATAGCAACTTTTTTTTAGAATAAGTCGCAGCTTTCTAAAACCAAACCAAAGATAACGTTACTAAATTTGCTATAGTAATTTTTAATAGACTGAACAGCATTATGCTTTCAAGGGAAGTCATATATTATATATAAGGTCAAATGTAAAACGAATCACCATCTAGTGTCAGTGTAGCGTATATAGTCCGTTCCATCCAAGGTATATCTTGCTTGAGAAACCTTCCAGCTTTAAGAAAAATAAAATAATTCATTTGTAATCAAAGAGAAATAGCTAAAGGGTGAAACCATCATATCCATAAACGGGCCGTTTATATGCTTAGATTTAAAAGATCATAAGCAAATGATTTGTACTATAAGTGTCATTACTGATAAATAGCATTAGTTGTCTATATATGAAAAATGAAATATATTCAAATATTTAAATAAAGTATATTTAAAAAAACTTGTCCCACCCTAAAAATTAAGGGGATGAACATTTAACTTTTACCAAATTTATAAATATGTATGTAATCAATCATTAATGCTTTTGATTTTTCTTTAATAGTATGAAATAAGATGATTATAATTTAAAGAGAAAATTTAGATATCGCAAAAACCCGATACGCGCTACTAGATTTAAGTTTTTAACAAAATAGCAACAATTAGTGTTTGCTTATATTATATAATTTGAGTTTATTTATATTTATTGTTAACTAAAAGTTACCAAACACTTAGCTAACTAAATTATTTCATTTAAACCAGAGTTGTA